TATATTAAAACACCAAATAAAAATCCTAAAAAAAGTTAGAAGTCAAACATGATTTAATAAAGGTTGACAAAAATTTTCAAAACTTTTTAAAGTCAGAAGCTATTTTTAAAAATTGAAGAAAATAAGTAAAATAAACTAAAATTTGTGAAAATAGTAAAATCAGAAATAAAAATAAAATGAGGTCACCAATATTTGTCAAGAGGTCATTAGATCCTTCCATAATTTTTTTAGTATTTAAAAAGGTCAGAAAGTATTTTTAAAACAATTAAAATAAGGCAAACAATGCACAAATTATGAAAAATATCAAACATTAAAATAAAAATATGAAAAAATATTCATAAAGTAAAAAATAATTCAAAGTATTTTTGTATATTTTTTCATAATTTTTGGATAAAAAATAAAAGATTTATGAATTTTTAAATATAAAAGAAATTTAAAAATAATTTTGTAAAATAAAACAAATCAGAAAAACCACGCGCCTTGGATCTCTTTCACTTATACACTCTGGCAGATCTAATGTATATGAGGTGAAGGAGTATCATGGACCCAAGTCAAGGCGCGCGCATGTAACACAAGAAAGTCCAACCAATCAAAATAAAACAATTGACTGAGCGTCATTGGTTGAAGAACGACACGTAGGTCGTCTTTAACCTACAGCCTTCTGCAAATAGGGCAAAACCAAGATCCTTGGATCTGTAAATTTACGCGTTCATAGTGGTACCATTAGATGCGTCTACTTGAGACGATCACAACCATATACTCGCAAAAAAATTATATAAAACACAATGTAGTCGATTTGGAAAAAAACAGAGAGGTTTGAAAATGTTAAAATGAAAAATCAGAAGCATTAAATGCATTGGTTCACCAAATTTGAGTTAAGAGTAAGCATCAGTGAACATCATAGACCATTCCAGTAATTTGAGTTAGAAGATTTGGCGCCTTAAACTACCTGAACGAAGTCAGATGAACTTGCTCTGTAAATGGACTTGGTTAGCACGATTTAGGGCACCTCAAGGCTTGATTCGTCTTCTGTTAACTTAAGTGAAGTTCAAGGATGAATGATCAATGAAGAAATTAGATTGAAAAGTGGAGAAAAGAGGAATTTTAAATCTCAAAAAAGTGAGTTATGGAGGGAGTTTGACAAAGTGATTTTGGTTGTTCAAGCTTGAGAAAATGAGTGGAATAGAGCCTGTATTTATAGGAGAAGTGAATGGAATCAAGAGGAGGGGTGAATGATCCAATTTCCCTTGAGTTCGTGCACACCTGTGATCATGAAGAAAGTATGACCACATGTGCATCAAAACTCATCCAAATGATGCGTTTTATCACTCTAAATGAATCAAACGTATTTGCTAATCATGTTTAAGTGGAAAACACATGGAAATTTGGTGATTAGAAGCCATATTATGAATTTCAAATTCTGAATTTGGAGAAAACTTCAGTTTCAAGGTACCATCTTTGAATCCATGATGTTCATAGCTCAATGGGTCTTAGGGCATAATTCTTGAAGCATTTGAAGGATGAGGTCACCATCTCTATAATGTGCCAAGAGTGAGTCAAAGTTGAGAAAAAGATGCTGACTTTTTGTACTTAGAAAAATTCTAAGTTTTTCTTCAAAAGTGACCTATAATATTTTGATTCCAAACAAGGTCTTCCTTCAAAATTAAGCTTTGATCATCAATTCTAGCTTGAAGTGTACTCCTTAAAGAGTATTGTGAAACTCGTATCACTAAAAAAATCCAAATATTGAACAAGTTATGATCTTTTGAATTTGATGAAAATCCATGAGGTGACCTATGATATTTTGAACTCAAAAAGCCTCTTGCAATCATTTACAAGCTTATGACCAAAAAGAGAGTTAAATTTAACATACTTAAGATCATTTTGAAAAAAGAATGAGCTCAATATGATAATAATTGACCAAGTTATGATCCTTTGAAGTCACATAAGGAAATTTGATGGCCTATCTAGAAGACTTGTAATCTTTCTCCATCATTAGGAATCTTACACACAAAATTTGCTTGAAACCTTTTAAGTGATTGGTTTATAACCCTTTAAAGAGAAGCATATCTTTGGAATCACTCAAAAGTCTCAAAAGATGAGCAAGATATAGCCCTTAGAAGTTCAAAACCCCAGCTCCTAAAGCACCAAAATAACTTGGAAACCCCTTTCAATTTTGATAATATTTCTTGCACAATCACTTTTTCCATGTGAATATAAGTTGTTGTGGATGATAATAAGAAATCATAGCAACAAAAACAACTTCCAAAAATTAAGAATTGGGAGAGTTATGCACTTGTGATCAAGGAATCAAGGACTTGTCCAATTAGGTCAAACTTCTTTAATCAAATCTTGCATCTTTTGACTTCCTTTGGAAATTGAAGCATGATGAATGATAGTAGACCTTGTCATGACATTTATTTAAAGCATCCTCAATGATGAAGCTTGAATCTCATTGAAGCTTTGTTGAAGAAGGCATGGAAATAAACTCATGAGCCTATGAATCCACCTGATGAAATGTGTTGTGCCCTCACCTATAGTATCATCAATTAGATCAAACATTCATTGTATTTGTTAGTTAAAAGTTAATCAACATAAGTCAAATATGATCACAATATACAAATCAAAGTTCTTGGTGATCCCTCATGAGCAAATCTAAAGATAGGGAGAAGAACCAAACCATAGTGTGATCTTGATATAATTGAGGTGATATAAAATGATAGAGGAATATTAGGGGCAAAAATTGGGGTACAACACTAACCAATTTCACAATTAACAATATCATTTTATTTTATTTTTCATCAAATAATTTGCAAAACAGTTCTAACATTGTTAATTTTTGTGATTTACTCATATTGTTAATTATTACTAACTTTTTTCCATCTATTGATTTACTTTTTTTTTTTTTACAAAATTTTACTAATTATTTTATCTAACAATTTTCAATTCTAACATTCTAGTTCAACAAAACTTATTTTCTTTTCTTTTTCTATTTGCAGTAACAACAGGTTTAAAAATCAATAAAGAAAAGAAGATAGAACCGGAAAAGATCATCAAAGAAAAAAACATGAAGGAATGAGCACTAGTAACTTGGGGGCGACTACTCTTTCTCAAACAAATTTTTGATTTTAGTTTTTTTAATTAATTAATTTATCTTGTAGTTAGGAAAATTAGGATTTTATGTAGTAGTAAGTTTTGGGGCCATGTACTTTCTTCCTCTATTCGCACACCCCTTCTACTCTTTCTATTATTTTAATTTTAATTATTATTCTTATTATTATTATTATTATTATTATTAGTCTTTATTATAATTAAAGGTTGTTTAATTTCTAATTTAATTTGAGAAAGTGTCATAAAATTCTACTTTGCCTGTACGTGACCTTTCTAGAGACATTTGAGGTTAGATTTTTCTCTTCCTTTTTTATATAACAATGACAATATTTAATTGGATTTTGAGTTCGTTTATTTATTTATTTATTATCTTTATTATTTTAAATAAATGTATGAATTGATTTATTTGCATTATGATGAATTGATTATTTGTGAATATTGTCATAAATTATAAAAAAAATACAAAAAATGTTCTCTTATTATTAGGTTTAATTTTATTTGTAAATAATCTAGTTATGTAATCATTTTAATTAGATTAATAATCACTAACATTGTACATAATTCTAAACTTCTCAAATTAAATTAATTCAAACATATTATAAATAACAGGATTGGTAGATACACATCCACTGTATTCTTTGGCTGGCTCAACACCTTATCAATTAACTGCTCAATATCAAAACATCAAAACATCCAAAATTTAAATACTCCCTTTGCATCCTTCATGACGAGCAACACGTGGCCAATATCAGACCATGTGATGAGGATACTTTATCAGGCTCCCCCGCTCTGTATCTTATCATACTCTTTAATCAAAATAAGAAACTTAAAATAGCTAACCAACGATCAAAACATTTTTCTACTAACATAACAAAATCCAAGATATTTTCATAAAAAGGATTAAGGAGAATTTCTTTCAAAATTAACTGTGAACTGCGTCTACGCTCACTCAATTTTCAATCCAGACAAAGTTCAAGGATAATTCAAAAGCAATTATACACAATCCATAAAAAACACTAACCAAACAACTACGAACTATGAATTGAGATTATGATTCCTCCTAAGAGGATACGTAGGCATACGAATAAATTCGTGGCGAGTTCCCCTATTAAAAAATTAAAACCTTATTTCCTAAACCCTTAAAATATAAACCCGAGTATCCTTGTGAACAAGGTAGATGAAGAGTGCCTAACACGTTCCCTTCGTTTAAGAACGAGTCCAACAACTTAGAATCTCTGTCCAAATTAGGGTTATCCTTTATATTCCCTTCCTTATGATAAAAATTAAGGGTGACGACTCTCAATTTAAAATCAGTTATTACAGCATGTAATCTATGTGTTTTACCAACATTTTAAAACTTACACAAATGACAAAGTTGTTTATTGGAAAAGGCAATGTTACACATTTTAAGAATTTGTTTGACAAAATTAAAATTGGCATGCCCTTTCCTATGATGCCACAGGGTGAAAGTATCAAAATAATTTGACTTATCTACAACAGGCTTGGAAGCAATGTAGCTTCGGACTCCTGAAGTGATGTTTAAGATTTTATTTGTGCAGTTGGTGTTGTAGATATCCAAGGTCAGCTTGGGAAAACAATAGAGACCAATATCATCTAGGAAGCCCTCAAGTAGTATTTGTTTAGAATCCTGACATTTTACATAACATTTGTTAGCCAGAAATTCAAAAGCTACATTGTTATCACTAAAAAATATGGAAACATATAAAAGGTTTCTTGTGATGGATGGTAACATGGAGTATTTTATCTAGGAGTAGCTTAGGATGAGAGGAAAATTTGTATTAAAGCATAGTTGAACCAATAAATTTTATGGAAAGACACTGGTCATTACCAACATAAACTTTACTAAGATCTAGATAAGGCTTTTTCAACTATAAATGAGATTCACATGGGGTAATGTGATGAGATGCACTTGAGTCAGCGGACCAGGCTTGGGATTCTAGCTGAGATGGCAAGGAATACTCTTGAATGTAAGCATAAAGTTGGCTTATGGTGACTACCATGGCCATTGTTTGTAATTTGGAAGTAGAGTATTGGGACTGATCCTGCTTAGATGAAGAGTTGTTTGCAGCATTTGAATTGGGACCAGGAGTGTTGTTTGGCATGAATGATTCATCAAATTTGTGTCAGCATTTAGCTACAACATGTCTATACTTTTCACACAGCTGACATGTTGGTTGGTTTCTTGTGTTGACACGACCTCTACCACATTCTCGACCTCTAGCAATGTGATTTCTCCTACCACGATTACTAGAGAATGCTCCTCTGGAGCTGTTACTGTCCTGGTTTATGTGAGCAAGATCGGCTGCAACTAGGGAAACGGCAAGTTCTTGACGAAATTTGTCCAATGGTTGTTCTTGGATATAGAGTATAGTTTCAACCTCACATAGTTATGGGGATTCAGGGCTTCAATACATCTGCATAACAAAGGGATTATACTCTTTAGGAAGTCCATCAAGAATCGAATCGATTTGGTCTTGTTCAATAATTGAATCTTCCACAGTTAATAGAGAGTTGGCTATCGCTTTAATTCTTAGAACGAACTCAGTGATTGACCTATTTCCTTTCTTTATAGACTTCAATTCAATGCGCAATTGACGAACCCTAGATTTCATCTGAGAATTGAAATACTTGTGAATTTTATCACAAATTTCATATGTGTGTTTGCAAGAAAACACTCTAAGTAATACAGATTAAGAAATTATAGACAACAATCAGATAAAAATAGCTTAACCTTCCACTATCCATGCTCCGTATTCGTCAGAAATCATACTTGTTGCTCGATCTTGAGCTATTTTTAACTTCTAAGGAATCCGAGGATTAACAACAATTCAGTGCATTTTCTGGGTCAAGATCACACCCTCCACTTGTTGATTCCATAGCAGATAATTGTTGTCTTGCAATTTGATTGAAAGTTTCAGTCTGAATGATCCATTGGAACTGGAATTAGAGAACATTGAAGAGAAGGTTTGAGCTTGATTCGGAGTTTTGAAAATCAATTCTTGATTTTCTGGAGGATCCATTCTCAAATCGCTCACCAATCAGTACATGCCAATCGGAGTGTTGTGCATGGAAGAAGAAGAAGATGGATAGAGGAAGCGTGAATGATCATACTATTGAATGATACCGTGTTAGAGATGAGATTCTCTGAAGCTCATTCTTAAAAGGAAGAATAAAACTTTCTATATACACTAAGTTGCTTTTATAAGAGAACTAAACAAATATATATATATATATATATATATATATATATATATATATATATATATATATATATATATATATATATATATATATATATATATATATATATATATATATATATATATATATATATATATATATATATAATTCACCTTTTATTCATTAATTAGTAAAATTATTTGTATTTTATTTATCTTTTCTTTATCTTAGTTTATATTTTATATCTCTCGCCCTAACTATAAGATGAATTGGATTGATAGATCAATCGCCCTAACTATAAGATGAATTTTAAAATTGACAGACATAGTAAAGATGATGAATTAGAAATTTTATTTCATCAAGTTAAAGAGTCGTAAAAAAATTATATTTATGTCTCTCATACACTGTAAAAAAAAAAAAGATAAAATAAAACAGACAAAGTAGAGAATACATATCTAAAATCTTGACTCGATCTATAAAAAAATACAGATAAAACATATTAGACATCCAAATTAAATTTTCAATTCTTAATTTTTGTATACTATCATATAAAAAGACTAGGGGCGACAAATAGATATGCTCACCTATTTATGGTATGAAGCAAATATTATTGAGTGTGAGACTTAAAATTTTTGACTTTCCTTGCAAAAAAACTAAGAGTAGTATGGGATGGACCGACGACTTTTAAAATTTAAAAATTGTAAAAAGAATTATGTTAATGTTTATACTTGCAAAATAATTAAAAGAAAAAACGAAGCATAACAATGACGATACATTAAATATATGAGTTTAAAACCTAATCTATCCCCCAAAAAAGTAGTAGAAAATTGGCATCCTAAAAGGGCAGGCCATTTTGCCAACCAAAAAATATAAAATTAGCATATTCAAAGCAATTATATATATGAGTTAAAAAGTTTGTTAGTGTAGTTGTTGAGCTATAGAATCCCAATAGAAAAAGTAGAAATGAGATTAATGGTTGACAATGGGAAGATGGAAGTGGGGATGGAATAAGAAAAGAAGGTTTTTAGGTAAAATATTAACATGGGACTTATGAAAGTGTGTTTGAAGTTGGAGCAATCTAAAGTGCACTAACTTTAAAATCATAAAACTGATTCATCATGTTAAAGGACCAAAATCCTGAATCGTCAAACGTCATACATCAATCATGGCTTTTCTATATCAACCATTAACTCTGCCTTCACTTGTTTATTCTCCACTCCCATTCATATTTCCATGCTATTCCATTTTTGTGCCTTCTATTGCCATACCATATTAATGAATAATGATTTTCAAGACGGAGTGGGGCTCCAAACTAACTTTAATATGTATATATTTTTGGCTTTTATAGGGCCATTTATAAGTTAAAGAGACGTGGTTGGGTTATAGGACCAAATTATTTTTCCAAAATTAATAAATGGTAAAAACACATGTGATGCAGTAAATCTAAAACGGTAAAATGATGCCAGAACATTTGATACAGTAATGCTAATTTAACACATTTAATTGACAAAACATAAGCTGGCAACGTATGACACTAGAGTTAATGTTTTAATAGTAATGATTTTCACTATTGAAAATTCAAAAATGTTTTTCGGATATGTATTTTCGAACACACCTTGTGAAATTTTGATATTGGGTTATTTCGGATATTCGAATGAACCCTTATTTTTCATTTTAAGAGAGATTTCTGATAAACATATCCGGAATAATTTAATATCTCAAATTTCTTTTGATTTTATTTTAAAAAGATATTTATTTATAATATTGTTATAATATAATTAAATTAAATTATTATTAATAAAAAATAACTTAAATTTATAATTAAAAATTAAATATTAAAGTAAATTTATGATATGAAATTAAACAATGAATGCGATAATTAATTTTTTAATTATAATAGTGAAATATAATAATTAATATATTTTATAACAAAATAAAATGTAACTAAATAATTTCGGTGTACTAGACTTTGCGTTCCTGCATCTCTGACATTTATGCGATCTAACGTAAAAAAATTCAGTATTCTGAAAAATCGACTCTGAGTTAAAATTTTACCGTGTCAATTCATTCGGAAAAAATCAAGGATTAAAATCCCTTATTTCTTGTTTTTCTATTTTATTTGATTTATTTTCCGTTTTTATATTTTCGAAAAAATCCGAAATTTTTTATAGATACTTAATTTTATTTTTAATTGTATTTTTAAATTTTTATAACAGAGTAAAATTCAGAAATACATATCAGAAATCACTTTTTTCATTAAAAATAAGGTTTATTCAGATATGCATATGCGAAATCACTTTTTTTATTTATAAAAAATGAGGTAGTTTCGGATATGCATATCCGAATTCTGGAAATATTTTGGGTATTTTGGATTTTTCGCTAGAAGTCTGAAAAAAGAATATTAGATGTGGAAATAAATTCTCATTTGATTTCTATTTAAATATTTGTTTATATGGTGTATTTAAATACTTTCTCCATTTTAAAGTAAAAAAATTTAAAATTGTTTACACACAAATTTAAAAAAGTATTAATGATTGAATAAATAAATATAACAATTTTATAAAATTGTCTTTAATTATTATTGGTTATCATAAATATATAATATAATTTAATAATTTGAAAATAATGTAGACAATATTTATTAGAGATAAAATTTATAAAATTAATTAATGTCACATCGAATAAGCAAAAAGACTTTTATTTTGGAATACATTTCTTTGACTAAAACAACACTTATTTTAGAAACGCCGCTAATTTGTTCTTATTCTTAGTTTCATTATCAACAACTTGTTCAAAGGTGAATGAGGAGCCAAAAAAATTATTAAGTATTATTTTGGACACTTCTTGTGCTTCTTCAATGAAAGTAAACTGCATGTCAAACCTCTTTAGTAGAGGTCTCTGATTCTTTCTCACAAGTTTCTCTTTTGATATCTTTTCACCGAAAGTAAAAGAGATATTAGCAATGTCACGAGACAAACATTGAACTTAACAATAATTTCTTCCTCAAGCGTTTTCAAGTGTTTAAATTCGATAGTAAATAGTTGAAGTATTGACATCCAAACTTTGGAAGTTCCTTCATGAGTCACTTCAAGAATTTCTCATACATCTTTAGCACTATTGTAGCTATTAATGATCCTAAAATATTGTTGCCAACTCCATTATAAAGAACATTAAGAGCACAAGAATTTCTAATAACTGCTTCTTCTTCAACAAAATCCTAATCCTTTTCAAATATTCCAGTTTCAGAATCATCATTAACTTTGATCGTAAGAGGTGTCCATCCATTAATGACAACTTTTCAGATTTTGTTGTCCATGGAGTTGAGAAAGACAATTATGCGAGCCTTCTTTTAGTCATAATTTGTTCCATCAAGAATCAGTGGACTGTTAACTATTCACCCTTCCTTGATATTGTCCATCTTAAATAGAAAAGATTAGTAACACTAGTACACACCTAAGATGAATAAGGTGTTCGCTCTCATGCCAATTGAAATTCTATTAGAGCGGAAATAGGATGTCACGAATAATGTTGAAATAATGTGTGAGACAAGAAGATTTGAGTTAGTTGATGAACAAGTAAACACGTAATAAATAAAAGATACAAGAAAATAGTAACACATTTCGATGAAATAGTCAACTACATCAGGAGGACAACAACCTCGTGGAAAGAAATTCACTAATTATAAGTAATCAATAGTATACTGTGATCTCGTCTGAACTATCCCAATTCAATTCTCTTTTTTTAATATTATCCATGTATTTCAACTCAAACTCCCAGAATTTGAGATTCACACACTTCCACTTAAAACACTCTCCATAATATTTGTAAGTATTCTTAATAAGAATGTGATTCATTTCACAAAATATAACCACAATTTCATCTCTAAATGAATTGTAGAGAATTACATATGATAGAGTTAAAC